AGCCCTGTCCTTGTACGCTATGTTCAAAATCCCAACAGTTTCTGAAGCATTTTTCCCCATCAGGAAACAACATGTCACAGCCTCGTGCTATTCTCTTAAATCAGCCATCACAAAAACAAGTTCAAGTAAAGTGCTTTTACGAAAAAATTCACTGTGACTAGAGAGAACCTTCCCAGGAGATGCCTAGGTGCACTAACTCAGAGGAAGTTGCTTGATGCTCGCCTAGCGGGGGCTACTACCAAAGCTCCACCCAGGAGAGTTTTTTCCAGTTTGGGGGGAAGCTTCAAAAAAGTTCATGGGAAAATAGAATGAACAGATCATGTTAAAAGTTCCATAAACTTTTGGAAGTTTTCCTGATTGGCATTTCTGAGATTCATATGCCCTATTGGGAAACGCAGGGTAGTAGCTCTAAAAGGGAGCTACGTCAGATACTGCATGATCATCTACAACACTGACAATAGATCTTAAAAGATAAATTTTCTGAAAAACTTAAAAGAACAAAAGAAAAATGTGACTATAAATTTTCAAAAAATATGTAAAATTTATGTTACAGCTACTGAAGGTAGGTTTGTACTATATCTCAGATTTTTTCCCCCTTAGCCTTCATTTTGCCTCCTTTCAGAAATACTCTAATGACTTGAATATTCTTACCAATAAATACTTTGGTGTCTGGTCAAATCATCTCTTCAGACTTAACATTGGTTAACCAAGCAAATGAAGATCAGGAAGTAGAAACATTTTTCTATGTAAGACTAGGTAAGAGTAATGAATTTGATAAGGTATCATTTAAGGCAGGTCCAAACAGAAAGTATTACCTAAGTAGCAAGGAGCCCTAGTGATTACTAGTTAGTCTGTGATCCACAAAGTCAGCAGTTCAAAACCACCAGGTTGCACCTGTGGAGAAAGACGGGGTTTCCTACTCTCATAAAGAGTTAGTCTCAGAAACCCACAGGGGCAATTTTACCCTGTCCTATAGGGTCACTATGCATTGGCATTGACCCAATGGCTGTGAGTTTGACCTAAGTAGCACGCAGAAAAATAAGCACTTCCACAAATCATGTAAAAACTCATCATCTGACACTCTCACTCTCTCACTGTCTCACTCTCTCATTGACTCACTGTTTCACTCACT